CCAACCAACCAACCAGTTGGCCAGCCAACCAACCAACCAACCAACCAACCAACCAACCAGCTGGCCAGCCAGCCAGCCAAACAACCAGCCAGCTAGCCAAACAACTAGCCAACCAACCAACCATCCAACCAACCAACCAACCAACCAACCAACCATCCAGTGGGTAAGAAACCAAGGGCTGAGCAGGGCTGGCTGACGCCCAGAGTCTATAAAGCAAAAGGATGAGAGTGTAAGATGCAAACAGGGAGGCTTGTGTCATAAAAGGCCTCGAACATGGCTGAGGGACAAGTGTGTGCTAAAACTTGGGATGGGAAGGCGCAGGCTAGGGAAGTAGCTCGGAGGCTGAAGCCCTGAACGATGCTTTTCCAAGCTCTCTAGCTGGCCGGGGCATAGAATGGAGCTTAGTATACAACTGAGACAAGGCCCTGAGCACTTGGGAAAGCTTTGCAAAGGAAAGCCTCTAGATGTCTTTACTCCCTGGATGGTGGAAAAAAGGAAGGAGAGCCAGGCAAGCAGCACAGCTTGAGCAGAGGATTTGTGGTAGGAAGAGCCTTCAGACTGAAATCCCAGTCAGGACCCACAGCTCTCCCTCCCTCCTTGCACTCACCGGCTTTTGTAACTGTTGAGAGCATTGAGGAGATGCGGCCCTCGTTCTGTCACAGGGGTGCTGGTGAGCTACGGGAAGCAGGAGAGCAGGATAGTTAGATCTACAGGAGTATCTAAGAAGGCACTGGTCTGATCCTGACACCCCATTGCCTTCTGTAGTGGCCTCCAAGGGAGAACCATTGGCTTGCAACCTTTTACCTCTCTGAGATCAGTTTCCCCATCTGTGATAAAGAGGAAAGCTTCTGACCTCAATGGTTCAGGAGCTTTACATAGCTGAGGCTGTAGCCTAGTGGGAGACTGCTTGCCTGTCATGCACAAGGCCCTGGGCTCATTCCTCAGTGCTGCTTTAAAAACATCCACACTCCTGTCCAGTGATGCCACCCTATGAGGTCTATGATACAGATCAAGTGTGGAACGTGAACGAGATCTCACATACACAAATGTGCTTGACGGCAGACAGAAAGAAGATGAACTATGTGCCCAACCAGCAAACTAGCGAGGACGTCGGTCCAGCCACTTAAAGGTTATGAGAGCACTAACAGCCTGAAACAGCGTAACACTAACAGAGGAGACATGACCTAAAGCAGCATGTACTTTCTTGTAAACTGTACAAAAGGAGAGGAACAGGATAGAGCCATGCCTTATTTCTAGTTATTTCTGAGTAGTGAAAATATGAATCTTTAAAAAGTATACTTTATGTCCTCATTAGTTAAAATTTTCCATTTGAAACATGTTGTTTTAATGTTTATTTTTATGAATGTTTACCTGCATGCATGTGTGTGTGTGTCATGTGTGTGCAGCGCCCACTAGAGACCTGAAGAGGGCACTGGATCCCTGGAATTGGCCTTATAGACAGTAGTACTGGTAAGCTGCCGTGTATGTATGGGAATGGGGCTTGGGTTCTTGCAAGGGCTGTGTGAGCGCTCTTACCTGCTGAGCATCTCTCTAGCTCCGATGCATGTTTTTTTTTTTTCATACACTAGAAAAAGTTATTCAAAAAATTCCAACTCTAGGGGCTGGTGAAGTAGCTTTGTGGCGGCCGAGTGGTGGTGGTGCATGCCTTTAATCCCAGCACTTGGGAGGCAGAGGCAGGCGGATTTCTGAGTTCGAGGCCAGCCTGGTCTACAGAGTGAGTTCCAGGACAGCCAGAGCTACACAGAGAAACCCTGTCTCGAAGAAAAAAAAGCCAGCAACAACAAAAAACAATTGTTCCAGTAGAGGACCTTGGTTTGATTTCCAGCACCAACACAGAAGCTAATGACCATCCATAACTCTAGTTTTAGGGTGTCCAGCACCTTCTTATGACATCTGTGGTCACTGGGCACACACATGGTATAAAGACATGTATGTGAACAAAACATTCATGTGCATTAAATCTAGAAACGATACTGACTCTATTCTTCAAGGTTCCTGTATGTCTTATAATTTACCAAGTACCACTATAAATGGACACATATACACAACTGGCTGCAAAACAGAAGGATTATCTATTCAGTATTTTTAAATTTTTAAAAAATTATATACTTTAGTGTGTGTGTGTGTATGTGGCATGTGTGTGTGGCATGTGTGGGGGGGCATGTGCGTACGTGTGTGTGGTATGTGTGTGGTGTGTGTGTTTAGCATCTGCATCCCATAGCACATGTTTGGGGGGCAGAGGTCAACTTGGGGCCTGGCTCAATTCTCACCATCTACTCTCTGGGTCCCGAAGAATGAATTCAGGCCCTCAAACTTGGCAGAGAGCACCCTCATCTACTGAGCCGTCTCAGTGTCTTTGTTTGAGTTTTACAACCCTGTCTCATCAAAGAAGGGATGGGTAGTCAGTGAGAGACATTTCGTTCTGCAGTAGTGAAGAGGACTCTGAGAGTATTGTTAGGATGGTGGCCTATGTAGCCCCATGGGAGTGTTAGGTCACTCTCTGGCTCTGACAATTTCAAAGTCTTTTAATTACAGAGCATTGAGGACCCCAGAAACACAATACAGAACAAGACCAGCAGAAGACAAATCCACTGTAATTTCTAACCTAGCCAGGAAATCTGCCAAATACCTTAGCAGAGAATCCTGCTCTCTCCAGCCACACTTGGTGCAATGCCTCAGCTCCCTGCAGCTGAGTTAGTGAGCTTCCAACCGACCACTACCCAAACCGGAGGCCAGAAAGCCCCTCCCTGGCACAGGCTTGGAGGCTCTGACTCAAGGCTGCAGCACAAGGGTGAGAACTTGGATATCTCTACCCTTGCTCTGCACTGAGTGATCCAGCGCAGGCACCTCTGGCACCTGGGACCTTACGTACCTTGCCAAGCTGCAGGAGCTCCCAGTGGTGGTTGACAAAGGCCAGGATCTCCTCAAAGTCAAAGTACCTCTTCTTGCTCTGTACTCCCAGGTTATAGAGGGCCAGGTGAACTATGTCCACCCTGAGTAAGACAGCAAGGGCCAAGTGAGGGAGGGGCGGGGTCAGGGCAGAGGGAGGCGGAGTCAGGGCAGAGGTGGGGCAGGGTCAGGGCAGAGGAGAAGGAAGAGCTGGTAGGGACAGGTCCCATCTTCTCACCATCGCAGGGGCAGCCTCTCGATATACTCTGGGCCTTGGTTACACACGGAGCAGAAGAACAGGTAGAAGCTGTGTGAGAGGAGAGGGGCTGTGATGGGAAATCCTCTGACCCTCAGCCCAGGCCATCTCTCCTTCTCCCACCTGCTTCCCATAGCATCCAATTCTGGGGTTCCAGCCTCTGAGCAGTGGAGGGGACAGGGGCCAAGGAATATGTCTCCACCCATCTTCAAAGACCACCACCCTAGTATTTAGCTCAGTTCATAGGTTGGGTGATAGTGGTCACCACTGTCCCTTCTGAGACCCTTCCCCTGCACATGCACACTTACTTGCCAGCCACCAGCCAAAGAAGTATAATATTTGATTTGGCAGATACAATATCTCCCATTAGCTTAGCCCTACCAATTAGAGGCCATCCATCTCCCTAGTGGTGTTTACAGTAACTCTTGGTAAGGCTAAGACAGAGACTATCATCTCTTCTTCCAGAGATATTTGTAGAGGCTGGAACTTGCAAAGGCAGGAATGTGCTTGAAGTTCCCCACAAATCAGTAGTAACTAGGCATGTAGCCCAACATGTTCCTTTGTTGTCTCCTGGCCCAGCATAGGCAGGGTCCCTTTTATTTTGAGCGCTCTCATGTTGACAAGTCTAGGCTATTACAGACCTCCTTTGTATGATATCTGGTAGATAATCACCTACCGATCTCCAAACACCATAGGCTCACTGAGGCACTGTGTGCAAGCTTCATGGAACCACTGCTTACACCGGTAGCATTGCAGCATCCGTAGGTACCACCTGGAGGCACAGAAGAGCTAGGTCAGCCATATCACAATCAGGCTCAGCAACTTACTCACCTGCCTCTACAAGAAAGAGATGAGAACTCTGGGCCACAGTTAGAAAAGCACACCATTGGCCCTGGTCTCAAAGTACAGGTTTAATATGCAGGCTCTCTGGTTCGCTTCAGATCTGGCTTGGTTTCCAGAGGAGCCTTTTGGAAGTGTGTGTGTGTGTGTGTGTGTGTGTGTGTGTGTGGAGTGTTTTAACAACTGCCCATTAAACACTGAGAAGCACCGACTTACTAATGAATGTCACATAGATTTCTGTATACTGTTCTCCATTGTCATTCATAATGCCTCCAAGTACACCAGAATGCTCATGAGTAATTAGGGTAACAGACTATTTGAGAGATGAAGTAGTTTAAATAGCATAGTCAGAGGGTAGCTGGCCCATAAGCATATCCTTCCAGACACTCTAAAATTCAGGACGGGGAAGGAGCAGTCTGCCATCTACTGAGGGTAGATCCTGCTTGTCTGCAGACAACCCAAAGGAGCAGGGTTAGTTGTCCTTGGAGGCCCAGGTTGGCAAGCAAGACCAGATTCTGGCCCCACAGCAAGACAAGAATCTCCTCCACCGTCAGCAGCTGACTACCAATTCCCAGCCCATCTGAGCTTTTATATAGTTACTGATGATCACAACCACACAAAGGAAAACTTGTAAGTGAACTGTGAATCAGGGGAGGCCCAGCCGGCAAAGTTCTGTGCCATGCTATGGACATTCGTCAGGCCTAGGCTCTTAGCTGCTTCATTGCTTCCTCCTTTCTCAGGTGGCTTCAAGAAAAGCACTCCACCTTCTACTTTCCATTGCCATCTGCACAGGTTCTCACTCTGAGCTTACTTTCAGGGCCCTTCCCTTAGGACCTCCTGGTTCCCCTTGGTCCAGACCTGCCTTATGGCAGCTATCCTACCCGCTGGGCCCGCCCCTCAAAGCTTGGTTCCCACAGACCACTCTGGGTCTCCCTCCTGAAGCCCCATCTTCCTGCAAAGTAACACAGCCTCAACATTAAAATCTGCCCTCCCTAAAATGACATCCCGAATCCGCCCCTCTAGATCCCGCCTCCGTGGCCTGACGCCTAGGCCCCGCCCTCGCGACTGTCACTTCAGGCCGGTCTATCCTAGACCTAGCCCCCAGCTGGCACTCCGGGTTTGTCCATCCAAGGCACGCCTCCGAGGCCTGACACTAAGGCCCCGCCCCACGGCTGTCATTCTGGGTCCACCCCTCTAGATCCCACCTTCACAGCCTGAAACTCAGACCCCGCCCCTGAGCTGTCACGTCTCTCTAGGTCCCGCCTCTACCGCTTGACATTAAGGCCCCGCCTCATAGCTCCAGTTTCGCCCCTCCAGGTCCCGCCTCCAGACACTCATACCCAGAAGCCCAGCTGTCACTCCGAGTCAACCCCTCCGGAGTCTGACGCTCAAGCCCCGCCCTCAAGCTGTCACTCCTCCAAGTCCCGCTTCCAGAGCCTGCTACTCAAGCCCTCCCCCCCCAATTCAGGTTATCACTCAGGCCCCGCCCCCTGAGATAGCTCTCCCGGAGCCTGTCAGTCCCACCCTGCAGCCTGCACGTGTCCCGCTCTGTCGCCTTACTCTCCAGGCCCGCCGCAGTAGCAGTAGCATTGCTGCTGGTTGGTGCGATGGGGCGAATCCCAGTCGAGCTCCTCCGGCTGGTAGGACAGCACCATTTTCACTGCCTGCAGCGTCTTGGCGATGGCGCCTTTCTTCAGCGCGCCGCCTTTCTAGGGGAAGATGAGGCCCAGGTCACCAACCACACCTGTCAGCACAGTTATCAGGAGAAATGCTGCCAGGGTTTGGGGAGACCCAGACATTTTATGAGCATCAGAAAAATGAGTTTTTCTAACCGATCCTAAATCCATCCTGTTTCCCTTAAAGATATTCATTAATAGAGTCACTTGTAATAAGGACAACACAGACACACACACACACACACACACACACACACACAGAGAGAGAGAGAGAGAGAGAGAGAGAGAGAGAGAGAGAGAAGACCGTGAAAGTATATATATCTTAACAAGATTTTAAAAAAGAAGGGACAGATATATAAGGTTGTCTTTTAATAGCAAATGGCCCTTTACTGGGGACCGCATATGGACACAAAACTGTATCCATTTTATGGTTGGGGAAGCTTGAGGTTTAGAGAGGTTCTGAAATCTGGTCTAAGACAGAGACCCTGTGTCTCCTCAGTCCAAGTGGAGTCCTTCTGCCTAGACTACGGCATCGGTGATGAAGTCTCAGGCCCGAGTCTCGTGGGGCTCTGGTCTGCCCAGTTGGAAGGCAGGAAAGCAAGGGCTGGGGAATGGGGGTCGGGGGGGGGGTGCTCACCCTCACAGCCAGTGCGAAAATGCAGCGTCGGCAGAACCAATGAGTGAGGAGGGGCCAGTTGGCATCTACTGCGATGGGGATGTGGCACTGTTGGTGGTAACCTGGAGGGAAGGAGGGGATGGAGAATCACTCACAAGGGAGCAGTGGCCCAAGGCCTGTTGGCCAAAGGCAGTGAGGCTAGCCAAGCTATGGCAAGCGCTAGGGCGCTCTGCCTGCCAGCTTTCATGGTTCTGGTAGTACCCACCCAGAAGCCAAGCTGATAACCAGTGAGGCACAAAATGACGGTACTGGCCACTGCAAGTGGCACCAAGGACAAGCTTCAGTACCTGTCTCTCTGCCTAGGAGGGCCACAAACTACATTTCCTATTGCTTTTGGTTGCCTTTCCCCAAGGTAGGAGGAAACATGCCAGCGATAGAAGGAGAAATAGGAAGCTAGCTTGGACCTCAGCAAGTGCGATGTGGGAGGGGCCCACAAAGTGGGAGGGGCCCACAGGGCAGGACCTTTGCAGTGCGATGTTCACCCACTCACCCAGGCCACACTTCCCACAGATGAGGATCTCATTCATTGGCCCTGAAGTCTTCCCCATGCAGATGTCACACTTAGGCTCCTCTCCTGGAACACCAGCTGAAAAAGAAGTCCCCTCAACTCTGGTCCAGCTCACACCACCAAGAAATAGTCAAAATCATCTGCTGGGTGGGAATCCATACTTGGATCTGGTGAGGAGTTCATAGGCCCCCTACTGGGAAACTCAGTTCTGCTGTTGACACAGCTAAGTTGACACAGAGTCTAAATATACATCATACCCATTCAGCCTTAACCAGAGATGCGTCTGTTTCCTGTGAACTACAGAGAGTGCAGAAACAGCTGTATAAAATGCTGAGAATAAGGGACAGTTAAAACAAGACATCCACACCATACCCTCATGGGACATTGTTGAAGAGGGGCCAGAAAGAACATACGAGCTGAAAGACAGAAATAAGGACTGTGAAATGCCATTCTTCGAGCATGGCCCCTGTAATGAACTCTTAACAACTGTAGATGACAAAGGGTCTGCACAAGAATGGATCCATCCACAGCAGATATTGATGGCAGGGGCACAGGGGGCCTGTCCTTCACTGCTGAACAATTTCATATTGATACATTCTGAGGAAGACAGAGAGTTATTGCCTTCAGCTGTGTACCCACTGACAATTCCATTGGATTCCAGTAGGTAGTTCCAATCCAATAGCCACACAGATGACCCTTATTGTGTGACCAACCAAAAATCATGTATCTGGGAAAGGGGCAGATAGGGAAGAGGGAAGAGGTGATGGCGGTGGGAAGGGAGGATCAGGGAGGGTTGAGGAGAGTGTAAACAGTATGTACATGTATAAAACTGTCAGGGACTTTAGTTGTTAAAGCAATCATGGTAAAAACCACAGAGCAGGAACTGAACTTCTGTGCCCTGTGGGTCACATCCCATCCCACAAGCTGCCTCCCTGAATCTTCCCAGGCTTTCAGAGGTGTCTGTTAACACCTGCTCCGAAGAAGATGGGGAGACTGAGGCTCAAGAAGGTAAGACCCTTGCTTAGCTGGTAAGCGTGAGAGTGGGATTTAAACACACAGCCATTGCTCTGCTGATCTGTGCTCTTCTGTCACATCCGGTTCCCTCTCCTACCTATCCCAACTCGTTTTATGTTTAAACATTTTTGTGTCAAGTGACATTTAAAATGCTTACTATGTGATAAAATGTGGGTTCATAAGGAGACTCCGTGTTCCCATCAGCTGTGAACTCATAGAAAGTCCTATTTAAACGACAGCCTCGCCCACATCTCCTCCCTGTTATTTCAAGTCCCAGACCCCCATTCATTTTTCTGTAATCACTGCGTTTCTAATCAGAGTTCTCTTAAGGCACTGCATAGCCTTTATTGCATCTAAAGTTACTTTTCCTTCCAAGTGTCTAACAAATTGAAATGTCACTACAAATTTGTGTTTTGAATCAAGATCCAAGGTCCAGATTTAATGACCAGTTAATTTGTTTATCTTAGTTTATTTTAGAGCTAGGGTTCAGACTCAGGCCCTGTGCTTGCTGGATACTCTCTCTCTCTCCTACTGAAGTAAACCCTCACCCTTAATACAGTTACAGAACGGCTTTTCATTTACTGGTTCCTCCTCAAAGTTTTTTCTTTTTTGTCTTCTTTTAAATATATAATATTTTTATATCTGAAGTGCTTGCATGGCTATGTTAAATATATTTCTCCTTTGGGGGCTACAAACCAAAGACTGTACATTCTAGGTAAAGCATACCCCCCCCACAAATACAACTTTTCAGTGTATATACATGCATGAAGGTCAGTGTGTGTGTGGGTGTACATGTGTGCAAGTCACATTGATGGGGCGGGGTTCAACACCCAAGGAAGGTGGTTGAGTCTTAGTTCCCTTAATAAAGTGATAGATACATCTTAACTGCACTACACCCAGCCTTGAGCATTCATCCTAGGGGACGCCAAAGGGTCGCCTGCTTGTCAGGAGCAATCAGCTGGATATGGGACAACCTGTTCCTAGCTACACACTTGCTGTGCCCCACCTGGTTCCTGATGCACAGTGGGATGCTTCCTAAAGAAGCTGAAACATGACACAGCACCTATGACCACTGCTGCTGGAGTTTTGTGCTTTTCATAGAGGTGTAGCCAGCAGGGGATGCTCATAGCTTTGTATCTACAGAAAACAGATTTAGGTTGCAAGGGACTGGGGTGGGGGGCGGGAAAGCAGTATTCCCTGGCCACAGATTTTTTGGAGGAAAAGAAATTTGTTTGTTTGAAAGATATAAAACACTGGCTTAGTCCTGCAGTCTACTTGGCTGGCTTCTTGGAATAATCTTTTTCAGTAACAGATTCTTAGACACTTCCTTCCTACAATGCAGCAGCACTGGGACGAGCATTTTACACACATGCATCACCATATCTGAGCTTCCCAACAGTGACGTCAGAAAAGTGGCATCACTGCTCAAGGCTGTGTAGCTTAGCAGTAGATTGGGAATGAGGTCCAGAGTCTGTCTGACTCTAGAACCTGCCTCGGTGGGCCACATCTGTTCTGTTAAGGATACATAATATGTAATAGGTTTCTTCTCTCAAGGCTGTGATCATAGGTGCTATGCCATGCTCCTAGTTCCATGATAAAAACACATGAGCATTGTGACTAGTGATCACCCAAATCTGTCCTATGGAGATCTGACCCCAACTGGGTACATCTCTAATGGGGTGTCAGCTGTCTGAAGGCAGGTGTGGCACTCAGTCCAGCTTCCTCTTCATCCTGACTGATGATTCAGCTCCAGCTCCTCATGGCCATTGTCATGCTTTCCTGGCTACATGTCACCCTCATCTCCCCCACCCATTTTCTCCACATGCAAATAGGGAACACAGTTCAAGTCTATAACTGACAACCCCTCTCCTCTGGCCTCTTCCTTCTCCCTAGCTCTAGGAGACACAGAACAGCAGATGCCATTCAGGAAGGACACAAACTGCAGGCCTGAGACCCAGTCTAAGCACTGTTGGTGCTAAGATAAGACAAGTTCCTCTTCCATTCGCCCTGCTTCCAGCTTAAAGTATGAGCATTCAGAAAGGAGATCCCTGAGTAGAAATTTACTTATCATTTCTGATGGGCCCAAGATGAGTACTCAAGACTTGGGGTTCATAGACCAGCACAGATGCCAGGAAAAAAAGGTGACAGAGAAGGAAAAACTGAAGGCAGAGTAGGGGGAGGGGCAGTAGACAGATGGACACTCACCATGCTGGATGTCCTTCCATAGGACCCAGTATTTGGAATTATCTTCAAAAGTTACAAGGCAGCTTTGCTTAGGACTGCTGACCTGAGGAAAGAGAGGAGAAGCGTGGAGGAGCAGCAGGGAGGAGCTGGGTCTCAGTCTTCCTCCATCTCCTGGCCTTGTGCTTCAGAAGACAGGCCAGAAGGAGAGGTGTGCTCCCTACCTCGGAGTGTGGCCATCAGGAACAGGGGGTCGACTTAACAGGGATGCTTTTAAGGGTAGAAGAGCAGGCCAGACAGTCATTTGTGTCCTGCCTAGTCTGGTGCTTGCTTAAGTTCTCTGAAGAACCTGCTGGGCCACACTGCCCCTGAGGACAGAGCTTGCAAAGCCAGGCTCTGGTCCTTTCCACTTTCAGCTTCTAGACATGAAGGATAAAAAGGGAAAGACACACGAGCCTGGGCCCAAGGACCAGAGCAGACTCACCCGCTTGATCTTGCCGAGGTAGTATAGTCCGTCTGTCCACCGGCATAGCACAAACTGTCCCTCCGTCACCTTAGACATCAAGTCTTTGAAGTTCTTTTTGGTCTTAGACAGGGCCCTCTTGTTAGGGCTGGTGGCACCAAAGGCTTCCTGAGTCCCTGGTTCCAGAGCTTGAGTCTCCATCAGCTTCTGCTGACACCAGAGGAGAAAGAACAATGTTTATTTTGCTTCCTGCTCCTGAAATCCTGTAAGGCCGTCAAACACGTTTACTGACAGGACAACCCTGGGAGGGAGACATTATTATCTCATTCTACGGATAGGGAAACAGGAGACGCAAGAAATGGTTGATGATCCAGAGGCAGAGCCATGGCTCATGAGGAGTCAAGGTGGCTCTATACCATACCACGCTGCTTCTAAGAGAGTGTATCTTCCCACCATACCTGGTGCAAAGGACTCACAGATCTGAATCCCACTACATGTCCAGGAGGCTGGGGCTTTGTCCTATATGTAGGCTCAGTTCCAAGGAAGCAAGCACTTAAGATGTTATGTTTCCCCTAAGATGTCTTCAGAGAAAAGCCCACCTAGCAATGAAAACTCTTGAGGTGGAGTGGGAACCGAGTGACATAGCCACGTGCCTCTCTTTTGCAATTTCCATTTCTGTTCTGGATTAACTAATGGTTTCATGAGAACCAGTGCAGGGCATTTAAACCTACCACATACACATCAGCTCAAAGCAGCTAAGTCATTACCACACCAGACTAACACATCTAGCTCTTTCCATCCCGTTAAAGTGCTGCTGCCTTTTGCTTCTTTGTTCCTGATTTGTGGTGTCTCCGTGGTGGTCACTTCTCCACCCAGTGTACTGCCATAGCAGCTTCTGGTACAGCGGCCTGAGAATCTCCGAATCTCCCCCCTAGAGTGGTTGGAGCATCCTGTCCTATTCTCCACTATGTCCTGCTTCCAACTCTGTCTCATTTTTCCTCATCAATTATTTCATTCACCTTTTCCAAGCCTATTTCCGGAGCCTGTTGCTTGCTGGAAGGGGGAGCCTCAGGGCACTCAGCTTCCCTACCTGAATCTTCCAGAAGGTTTTTGGCTTTCCAAACTTTCACTGGTGATCAACTTTATTGCTTTCTCCCCTTCGTGGCCTCACTTGGCGTCATGTCCCTCCACATACACTATCCTAAGGTCAAACACAGCTTCCTTAAGGTGCAGTGTGTGGGGATGGAGGGGGCGCTCCTGCTCAGGGTGCCTCCCTCTGCCTAGGTGTTGGGCACCTGGTGCTCTGCCAGTCCACAAGAAGACAGCTCTGGGTGTGTTTTCCTGTGAGTGCCTCCTCAGACACTGTAGGATAGTCTATGGCAGTGTGCCAGTCCTATAGGTGAAACTAAATACACGTGGACATGTGAGGGGCCTGGGGCAGTGGGGCATAGTCAGGGTCCCAAGTCGCCGGATGATGGGAGTCAACCTCCTTCTGCCTTCTCCTTCCTGTCTTTTACTCCAGGGCAGAGGCACCAGGTAAGGGCTGTAGTCAGAACTTTTGCCCTCTTCCCTGGCACTTGGCTCTTTGGGAGCTGGGAGGTCCCTGCTTGCTTGGGCCTGGAGTGCGGCCGGCCTCGGCAGGTTCACAAACTGACATTTCCTCCCCCACTGAGCTTTTGGGGGCAGGCCGGGTCGCTGCGCCCCCGAGGCTGTGCTGGGCCCCCGGGTAGTGGCCCCCCCATCCCGCCTCCATCCTCCTGGAGAGGGCCCCCGCGGGCTGTGATTGGTTGATTCAAACCCATCGGCACAGAAATGCTTGTTTGCGGGTTCCCGTCGGCGTCCAGTTCAAATCCGCGGCACTGGGCGCGCGGGGCCGGGCGGGGGCAGGAAGCGCGGATGATTCATGCGCCGAGGCCTCTCCAGGGCGGCCGTTGGCTTTTTAAAAGGGTGTTCAGGGGGGAGAATAGCTTGCAAAATGTGTCCCCTTCGGCTTCAGGCGCTCCTTTCCTCAGTTGCTCTAATTGCAAACTTTCCCCGCTCTTAGCCGATCGTAGCCTGACTTTGGACGTGAGCAAAATCCCAAATGCCCTGCCTATCCTCCCCTCCATAGCTTCAAATGGAAAAGAAAAGACACGCGGCCACAAACGGAGACCTGTCACCCACACCCTCCCCAGCGCTGGGTATGTGGCTGGGACTCCTGCTGTCCTGAGGGTACCGCTCGGGCTCCATCTCCGTCCCCATCCCACAAGCGCGCAGCTCCGCAGTTACTCTAGCCCCCGCCCGGGGATCGTAGGGCTCAACCTAGGTTTCTAGGAGAGGGGTGTGTGCAGGGATTGAAGCATGAATCGCGGACACTCCCGGGGCGCCCGCAGCGCGGGACTTACCGCAAGGCAGCGCGTCAGCCGGTCCTACTTGGAGTCTGGCCACCAGGCACATCGGCGGCGGCGGTGCGCTCGGCCCAGGGCTGCCGGGTCGAGTGTCCGCCCCTGGGGCCGGGGTAGGGGTCTCGGCGGGGGCGGGGAGGGGCGGGGGCGCCGCGGGGAGGAGGGGACGCAGGGAGGGAGGGGCCGGTGCTCTCAGGAAGGGGCCCCCCGGGCGCGGGGCGCCATCTTTTTCGCGTTTTCCCGCGAATTATTGACGTCCCCGCTTATGTAATTAGCAGGGGCCGCACCGGCTTCGCCATTGGAGCCCGCGGCCGGCGGGGCCCCGCAGCGTCTCCCGGGGCCGCCCCCGCGCAGCGAGCCGAGCGGGCACACGCGGAAACACAACTGCACAGACCCACGGCTGGGCAGGCGTACGCACACCACACGCACACAGCTACTACACGCAGACCTTTCACGACCCGGGTAGGTCTCCCAGCACCTTGATCTTACAGCACCGACATTCCCCACCACTCCCTGGAGACCAGGACAAGCCTAAGAGACTCAGACACAGGACACACACACATATGTGTGCCATAAGTTACGACACTCAAAATGACTCTGCCCTCAGCATAGACTCCCGAGAAACCACGTGCAAGGCACACACAAGTCATCAGCATAGAGCCCCGACACAGTGACCACAAGACCCACTCGAGTATGCCAGTCAAGTACTGTAGAGGTAACAGTGTAAGATAGTCACATAGACCATGTGCACAAACACAACAAATACATAAAGGGCAAACTTAAGGCAGATCTTGTGGATAGGACTCCAATCAGATAAGATCTCCCTCCGGGAGAAAAGACAGAGTGTCCTCAACCAGACGCACTCTTGGCACCAGGGCTGGAGATAGCGTTGGTCAACACCCCTTACCTGCGTCCCTGCTTTCAATCTGGACTGCCCACTGCACCTGCTAGCGTGGCCCCCTGCAGACACACCCTGCTGGGATGAGTGCGTTCTTGGTGTGGCTGTGCACTGCTCTTTCTTCCCAGAGCCTTCCCGGTTCATTTTACAGTGGCCACATTGGCACTCTGCACCCTGGGGTGTGGGCAGCCTGGTCTGCAGCTCCTGCCTGCCTTCCACCTTTATCCCCCAGCTTGAGACACAGGAGTCCTCTTCCACATTCCCCTTCACCCCTGGGTCTTCCTGCTTCTCTGGTACTCCTGGGTATTTGACCCACAGCAGAATCTGGTTAACGTGAGCATCTGTCTCCCTTTGCTGAGCCTGGAAAGGAAGTTAGTAGCAGCCCCACCAGACAGGCTCTTCCAGCCTAGGAAGGCATAGCTGCACATCGCCTTCTGCAGAGATAACACCTCTCTGTCCAGGAAGCTCTGTCATGAGCCTCTAGGTTGGCCAGAGGCACCTTTAGGATTCCAGGGGCAGAGACAAAAGAGCAAGCCTGTCTCTGTAGCTCAGAGGCTGGCGCCACCTATTCCTGGATGTGAGACTGAGTGAGTCACTTTAGCTGTCCAGCTGTTGGGAAGGTTAGAGGCACTGCATAGGAAGCCCCTGTGACCCCTGAGTGTGGGCAGAAGGTAAGTAAGTAGTGTGCTTGGTCCAGTCTGTCTTCATCCACTGTTCTCTTGTGTGGGGCTACAATTGGCTTAGGACACACAGTCAAGTAAGAGAAATGGGGCCTGCAGTCTGGTGAGGTAGCCAGTACAGGGATAACGCATTTATGTAAAAAAGATCTCTGCCATGGAATTAGGGAATTGTTGCTCTGAGGCCAGTTCTGCCTCTGAATAGAGGGATTGTGGGTAAGCTGGCCCCCAAGTTTTATTAATATAAACATCCTATCTGTTCCAAAGCAGGGGTAACATTACTCTGTCTCACAGGGCTGTCACTCAGATAAAGGTTACCATAGGCTCAAGAAGGAGCAGGTGCTTTGGAAAACTCCAGAGCAATGTATGAAATGAGAAGGTGTTGACATACTAGACAGAGGACTGTAATGCCACAAGAAAAGCTGTATGTCATTCACAGTGATTTACAACCTAAGTTCCATGGAGAAACTCTCACTTGGACAGGATGCAGAAACAGAGAGGCATGTATTTCAGGAGGAGGAGGGAATTGAATGGACTGGCAAAAAAAAAAAATTCAGGTAAAAAAATAATAAGTGCTAGCCAAGTGTGATAGTGTAGGCCTTTAATCTCAGCTCTTGGGAGGCAGAGGCAGGTGGATTTCTGAATTGGAGGCCAGCCTGGTCTACAGAGTGAGTTCCAGGACAGCCAGGGCTATACAGAGAAACCCTGTCTCAAAAAAAAAGAAAAAACTAAAAAAAAACTAAAACTAAAAAAAAAAAGAAATCAGTGTTTGCTTAGGCAACATATGTACTAAAATTTGAATGATAAAGAGGAACTTAGTATGGCCCCTGTGCAAGGACGACATGCAGATTCATGAGTAATCCATGTTCCCCGCATGTCTTAGTTACAGAAAGTGCTGTGAACACACACCGTGACCAAGGCAACTCTTATAAGGACAACAGTTAATTGGGACTGGCTTACAGGTTCAGAGGTTCAGTCCAGTATCATCAAAGCAAGAGCCTGGCAGCATCCAGGCAGGCATGGTGCTGGAGAAGCCACGAGTTCTACATCTTCATTGAAAGGAAGCCAGGAGCAGACTGTTTTCAGGCAATTAGGAGGGTCTGAAAGCCCACTGCCACAGTCATAACACTTTCTCCAACAGGCCACACCTGCTAATAGTGCCACTCCCTAGGCCAAGCATATTCAAACCACCATATTCCATGCCTTGGCCCCTATAGGCTTGTTCAAACACATGAGTCTATGGGGACCATACCTAGGCATAGCATAATGCTAAAAACCTTTAGTCCAACTTCAAAAGTACCCAAAGTCTATAACAGTCTCAATAATGTTAAAAGTCCAAAGTTCAAAGTCTCTTCTGATGTTCATCTAATCACTTACTGTAATCCCCTATAAAATCAAAATCAAAAAGCAGATCACATACCTCTAACATCACAGGATATACATTACCATTCCAAAATGTCATAGTGAGAAAATACTGAAAACCAAAGCAAGACCAAAAATACCAGCTGGGGAAACTCCAAACTCTGCGTCTCCATGTCTGATGTCAAATGCTCTTCAGATCTCCAACTCCTTTCAGCCTTGTTACTACAACAAACTTCTTTCTCCTGGGCTGGTCCCACTCCCTGTTAGCAGCTTTTCTCAGCAGGTATCCCAACAGCTCTAGCATCTCGCACATCTTGAGGTATCCCAAGACAACTTCAACTTTCAACTTCACAGCTTCTTGTTCCAATATCTGGGACCACACATGATCTTCTTGGCTCCTCCAAAGGGCTGGCATCACTTCTCCAGCCCTGCCCTCTGTAGCACTCTAGGCTCTGGTTGACTCCACTCCACTATGGCTGCTGTTCTTGGTGATCACCCCATGGTACTGGGTACTGGCATCTCCAATACTCCACTGCACTCTTCCACTGCAACTAGGCTTCGCCAATAGCCTCTCATAGGCTCTCTTCATGGTGCCAAGCCTCAACTCCTTTGCATGACCCCTTCAGTACTGGGCCATCAATTGCAACTGAGGCTGCACCTTCACCAATGGCCTTCCATGGCCTCTCACAGTGCCCAGCCTCAGCTGCTCTTCATGACCCCTTCATACCTTCAAAACCAGTACCTCCTGGGTGACTCTTACACATTACCAAGTCCAGCTGAAACATGAGCTACAGCCTTGGCTATCTCTGGAATGCAGCTTCTTTGTGTTCTCAAAAAAAACCCACTACCCCAAAAAGATGTCACCTCAGTAATGCTAATCTCTTCCTAGTCACTGCTAATTTCTTAGCTCTAGCTAACCAGTATCGATAGTCCCAGTAGTCTCCTACTCTTGATTGTAAAGCCAGAGACCCATGGCTAAAGCTGCTGAGCTCTGCTGCTTCCTGGAGCTGGAACACGGCCCCTTATTCTATTATGTTATCACCAGCTTTCTGTTTTCCAACTCCTTCACTGCTTAAGGTTGGCCGTCCTGGGATTTGTCAGTAGATTGACCTTGAACTCATCAAAATGCACTTCAGGAGACAAAACCACAGAACAGAGTCTAAACTTGGTTGTTTTGAGTCTTTCTTTGTCAATACAATTAATTTGGTTCTCTTCACCTTAGCCTCAGACAGACTCTTCAGACAAGGGCAAAAAGCAGCCACAATCTTCACCAAAACATCCCAAGAATAGTCTCTCAGCCACATACTAAAATTCATCACCTCTGGAACCTCTATAACCAGGCTTCCACAGTTCCAATCACCCTCAGCAACTAAATCTTCCGTATTCCTACCAGGATATCCCATTAAGCCTCACTTAAAGCATTTCATTGCTTTCCGAAGAGCCAAAAATGCACATTCTTCCAAACAAAAACATGGTCAGGCCTATCACAGCAATACCCTAGTCCCTGGCACCAACTTCTGTCTTAGTTGGGGTTTCCATTCCTGTGAAGAGACACCATGACCAAGGCAACTCTTATAAAGGATAACATTTAACTGGGGCTGGCTTACAGGTTCAGAGGTCCAATCTATCATCAAGGCAGAAGCATGACAGCATCCAGGCAGGCATGGTGCTGGAGAAGCTGAGCTCTACATTTTCACCAAAAGGAAGCCAGAAGCAGACTGTTTTTAGGCAATTAGGAGGAGAGTCTGAAAACCCACCCCCACAGTGACACACTTCCTCCAACAAGGCCACACCTCCTAATAGTGCCAATGCCTGGGCCAAGCATATTTAAACCACTATGTCCCATAAGAATGCTGCTAGCTGCACTTCTGTGTTTTCTGCTTGTCCCCCCTCCCCCCAGGTGTTGATGTTGAAAAACTTTAAATAAGACTGATTTAAAATTTAAAACTAGGCAAACGATCTCAACAGATCATTCCCAAAAGAGGAAACCCAATAGCCAAAGTAGCCAAAAATAAGAAGAGCTGTTCACCTTCACTGGCCATGCGAGAACTCATGGCCATGCAAGCTGAAGGACTGTGCCACACCATCAGATGTCCCCAATGTGGCAAAGAGCTAAAATTTGTCTGCCTTAGGGAATGGAGGCAGTTAGGGTGCAGGACAGGGGCGTCTGGAATTTGCCGATGGAGATGTTGTTGCTAGGACTTTGGAGAGCTGTTGGCTAATGTCAAGTGGGGTGTAAGATGCCGGTGCCTTCAGTTGTGTGTCACTTGGCAAAATAATCAATCAATCAAACAAGCAGAAAAGAAAGGAAAGGAAGAAAGAAGTTGGTTACCCACTAACAGCAGTCCAGGTACATACACTATGATAGGTTCATACAATAGAATTGTATCCTGAGAGAAACTAGTGTAAGACAGTGAACCCTAGCACACATACCCTCTAGGGGAAAATGAGCACGGAGGTATCTAGGTATTGTGTAGTAGAAAATTAAACATTTGAGGCTCCACTGTGCATGGTTTTAGTGATAGTCAGGTGGTGTAGAAGTATTAACCATGCATAAGCAATGAAAGATGCCTGTCTTAGCTAGAGGGAGAAAGGTCTGGGATTAGAAAGAAGCACAGAGGTAGGTTTAATCAGGTCTGTAAGATTTTCCTTCTTAGAAGAAAAACCAAATATGTCGAAATGTGAGGATTTGATGGAGCTGGGTGGCTGGTTCATACTTGTCTCTGCTTCTCCTCTTCCGAGCTGCGGCTTTCCCTCGTTCTATGCAGTTCTGTAGCGGTTTTCCTCAGGATTGAAACTTTCCCTCGTGAAGGGAAGAGGCAGTAACTAGAAGCATTGAAACCCACAGAGCCCCAAAAGTTCATGAAAATTAGAAGATTCACAAGCCCTCCTCCTGCCAAAGGTCTTAAAAGTAGTAAACAAGGGGGCTGGAGAGATGGTTCAGTGGGCTAAGTGCTTGCTTGATAACCGTGAGGGTATGATACCAGACCCCCAGAACCCACTGCACAATCGCAGTGGGCACAATGGATTGATTCAGAGTGGAGGCGGGCAGATATAGCAGCCACCAAGTCTAACTGAAACGGCTCCAGGCACTCTGGAGGCAGAGGAAGGCAGATTTCTGTGAGTTCTAGGACAGCCAGGATTACAAAGAGAAACCCTATCTCAGGAAAAAAAAAGTGTTTATGTGTCCCAGGGAAGAGTTACAAGTAATCTAGTCATTGTAAAGGTGGGAGGCGCACAGAACCCTAAGAGATAGAGGAAGACACCTGACAGTGAGCTCAGACCTTCACTGTGTACACATGGGCAAACGTACCTGCACTCACAAGCATATACCCACCCCACAAGGGAGCAAACATTTTCTGGAGATAGAGGACTCTGATGAAGCTGCCTGTAAGGTGGGAAATCCAGGGGTGTGGATTTAGTGAGCTGTCACTCATTATGGGGTGGGCTTTTTGGCAATGCAGCTGCCTGTAAGTTACCCATGCTACTATAGTTAGCTGCAGTAAACTCACTGCTCTATCTATTTGGGGTGAACGGGTGTTTGTTCAAGGTTCCTAGGGAAGAGTTAGACTCCACGTTGGGACATCTGGCCATTGTGAAGATGGGAGGCACAGGAAGCCCTGGGCAGACTGTGGGTGGGAAAGCTTAAGGCAGGGCAGCACGTCAGGTGTGCAGGTGGTTATGGCTCACAGCTCTGCTATGACTGGCATTAGCTGTCCTCCTCTTTTAAGACTTATTACAACTTGGTGAGCCAGGCTTGGCAGACATCAGGGAGAGGATGGGGTTTAGAGTAGCAGTGGTATTTCTACACAACACACACACACACACATACACACACAGTGCACACACATACATATACAACACACACACATACCACACACATGCAGTATACACACAGATACATAGACCACACTCACAGATGCATACCCAGACACATAGACACACAG